CTTACAACATCATGTTATATCTACAACTTTAATATTTTAATTGCTATATAAAATTACTTCAATGTCATTAGAACATTTTATTGTCACTTATTGAGTTATTTTGAAATATTTTCTATGAATTCAGTTTTGGTTTCGGTTTAACAAATTTTGTCTTCAATGGGTGTATTGTTTTTGTCAATTAATAACATTTTTATAATATTATAAATATTATGTTGCAAAATGGGCAGAAAGGTTTATGAGATTTTATTGGTTAATGTGGTGAGCAAAAATACTCCAATAGAAATAAAATTCTGTAATTATAATCTATTAAAATCATAAGTAAAATCATAAGTGAATAAAATCGTAAGTAAAATCATGTAATTGCAATCTATTAAAATCATAAGCAAAATCATATAATTACAAATCCGGTTGAAATCCATTACATTAAAATCATGTAATTACAATCTGTTAAAATCTTAATTGAATACACCCCCCTAAGGCAAGGCTAAGGCAAGGCAAGGGCTGCCACTATTCACATAAATAGTGCCAGCCTTGCCTTAGTTGGTTCCACCCTTGGAAGGCTAGGGCAAGGGCAAGAAAAAAAAAAGATTATGCAACAAATAAGTTAAAGATTGGTTATTTCTAAATAAATGAATCATATCCAAACGATATGCACCATGTCATTTAATCATGTGGCCCTTTCATTGGACCTAACCCCACTCAAGGTATTAGACCTAAGTGGTTGAGGTTGGACTTAGCAGCGAGCTCCTAAAGGCTCAAGAAATCTTTGCAGGGGAGGTGGAGTTGCAGTGACCATATCACTCTTGAAAATATATGCTTCCTCTTAAAGGAATTTGGGTTCAAATCACCACCCATATCTGGATGATATGATGTCTCACTAATCAAGAATTGGAAAGCATTTGAAGGCTAGAAATTCTCCTATGACCAAACGTTACGTTCCGTTGCTATGAGCACTATCAAAACTAGGACTTACTTTTAGCTGCTATATATAAAAATAAAAATAATATAATTATATATATATTAATTTAAAAAAACTAAACATGTACCTCTTACTTTTATAAGGTACCAAACCTTTTTCAAGTAAACTTAGCTACAACTTTCTAAGCTACCAACTTGACTGTTAAAGGTTTCTTGACACACACAACATTGGCGTGCTAATA